CCATGTGTCCTGGGGGATCATATGCATGACACGCACCTTAACCCGATACCACCTCTGCATACCTAGAAAGGGATTTCCCAAGGTTGTGAGGAGAGACCGAGCCATGACAGCCCCAGGGCATGAGCTCAGCTGCCTCTCCTGAACCCCACTTCACCCCAGCACCTCCCTTAGCCTTCGGGGCTTCCCTCCCCCTCCATGTCACAGAGGAGGGACACAGAGGCCATGTCCAGGAATTGCTAACTCTGCAGGACTCACTCACAAGACTGCCCATGGCCACAGAGCACAAAGGGCTCCAGACACACTGGGGAGGGGTTGTTCTGAGGTCCCGGGGGGGGGGGGTGAGCTATGCTGGGGTCCCAGGGGGGAGGAGCTGAGCTGGAGTCGCAGGGGGAGGGGCTGTTCTGGGGTCCCTGAGTCTGAGCTGGAGTCCTAGGGAAGAGGGGCTATGCAGCGGTTCCAGGGGGAGCGTCCCTGGGTGGGAGGTGAACTGTGCTGGGGCCCCAGGGGGGAGGGACTGTGCAGGGGAGGGGATGTTCTGGGGTCTCAGGGGGGGCGGGGCTGTTCAGGGGGTCCCAGGTGGAAGAAGCTGAGTTGGGGTCCCAGCGGGAGAGACTGTGTGGGTGTCACTGTAGCCCCTTCAGCCACAGAGCTCTGTCATTGAGGGGGTGAGCCTCCCCCCACCATCCTCAGTCCGGTCTCTCCTCCACCAAAGGTACAGGATCAGAGCATCAGCACTCCGCGCTCCCCAGACCACAGCAGCCCAAGTAACCTGCATCAGGACTGCCAAGGAGGGTACTGAGTATAGAGTACTCCCTGTACTCTGCAGGGGCTGGGGACAGCACCCCTCCTCCACACACACACCCCATGGCTCCCCACTTGGACCTGCTCCAGGGATTCTTGGGCTGAAGACATGGGAAGATGGGAGAACACAGCACGTAGGGGACCCCAGTTTCTTCCACATCCCCCGATCTCCAGAAAGCTTCCCCCAGGCTCTCCTTCTCCCACGGGACTCTCAGGGTTCCTCCGAGGGAACTGGCTGCCTTGCTTCGGGGATCCGTGAACCTTGGTCTCCCTCTTCTGGCGAAGGCCAGGCAGATGCCCAGGGCAGGGGGCTGGACCTCTGAGACACCAAGAGGAGCAACGCAGCCCCTAGTAGGCGGGTTCCCCGAGGCTCCTTCCCTCTTCCCTGCAAACCCCAGACAGGTTTGGACCTTGGCAGTGAGGACAAGCCTGCCCCTCCAAGCTTGCTGTGGCTGGTTTGTTATTTAGGTTTGGAATTCAGCTCAATTTCTTCGGGGATGGGTTTTAATATTACTGGCCAGACAGAGACTCATCACTCAGGGCTTAGGGGAGAAGTAAGCAGAAAGGTTTATTTAAGGAAAAGTCTTTCTGGGGGATCCCTTAGAGAAGGGATCACTAAGACAGTGATGGTTGGAGGAATCGGTCGGGATGGAAGATGTGTCTGAGAGTAGATAAAGGACCAAACGTGATAACCTCTCAGTATCTGCATTGCAAACCATAATGCCCAAAAGTAGAGAAAGAGTATGGGGAAAATTGTCCGCCATAGAGGTAGGGGGAGGGTTGTAAAGGAGGGATACTGGGGACACTGGTGGTGGGGAATGTGCACTGGTGGAAGGATGGGTGTTTGATCATTATATGATTGAAACTGAAACATGAAAGCCTGCAACTATATCTCACAGTTACTCAATAATAATAATAATAATAATAATAATAATAATAATAAAATATTTCTGAAAACTACTTACCCTTCTCTCTGGATTTTCTCTGGCATTTGCTCGCCTCCTGCTTGGTACACAAATGTGACAGAGATGGAAACTCCCCCCCGTCTCACCCCTTCCCTCCCTCCCAGGTTCTCTGTTTCTGCACTCTCTCCAGAATCTTCCCAAATCCAGCAAGAGACCTTCCAGCCCCAGTCACTTTGGGTTGATGTAGGCGTGTCTCTCCTTACGACCCCAAGAACACGGCTATGCAGGACCAGGCTTGGATTCTCCCTGTTTCCAGACAAGCAGGCTGGTACTAGCCCAGAGTATAGACTGCTTTATTCTGAATCTCATTGGAGAGGTCGGGAGACAGTGTAAGAACTAGGGAGCGCGCCTTGCAGGTAGGTCCCCAACCCGGCTCCATCCCTGGTCCCACAGTACCTCCCAACCCTGCCAGGTGTGGCTATGGAGACCTCTGGGCATCTCTGTAGTGACCGGGTGGCCCCCAGCACCTTAGGGCCTGAACAGCACAGCACTGAACTGTTTGGAGGCACCTCCAAGCCCCTGAATACCACTTGGAAGCCCCCCAGTAAATAAATCATGGCTCCCATTTTTAGATCAGTTTTGAAAACCAATGAATTCATGCACACACCCCTTTACCTTATGAGGCACTTCTGGCCTCTTTCCTCACCCCGAGGGTGGCAGCAGGCATAGATGTGCAGGTTCTTGTTCCCATGTGACCAACGGTGAAAGTGAAGGTGAGCAAAAGGTCAAATCCAGTCAAAAACTTTATTTAGGGAAAGGCAAGGGAGGGGGGAGTAATGTAAGTATGCTTCCTGCCTATGGCAAGGGGGGTCTGAGGGCAGGAACTTGAATAGCTGAAGCCTCCCCCTTTGATAACAAAGGCGGGTGGGCAAGCATTTCTTTATTGTGCTCTCGGGATGGGGGCCATTAAAAAAGGGCAGAGAATGCTGAAATGATTATTTATCCAGGATCTCAGTCACCCGGGTTATCAGGCACCACCTTGGCCTCCCTTTTTCGACCTTCCATACCAGGTGATTTTTGTTTTTGTCAGGGCCATACCCCAATTTCACCTGGCCTGTTCCCCTTCTGTCTCGATTGCTAAATGACTGAGTCCTCAGCTCAGGAGTCTAAGAAGTGGATTTTGGAGACTCAAAACTAGATGCTCTTTTAGCAAGAATCCCCCATGGTGTCCCTGGGTGGTCAGCAAGTCCGCGGCAGAACCTCGCAGTTGCCCACCATTCCTCTGAAAAGCGCAGAGAAAAGACTCACCAGGGACCCAATCTGGTACGTCATCAGACTGAAAATAAAGGAAGGGCTCTTGACTCTTCGCTAAATTCTCAAAGCTGTGGAGTGGGAGGGGTGGAGGGATAATTTTTTTTTTTTATTCCCCTCTAATGACTACGCAGTTCACCTTAAAAACATTTCAGGCTGGAGTGATAGTATACAACCCATAGCAGGGAGGGCGTTTGCCTTGCATACGGCCCACCTGAGTTTGATCTTGGTATCCAGAGCACTTCCAGGAGTAATTCCTGAATGCAGAGCCAGAAGTAACCGCTGAACACTGCTGGGTGTGACACCCCCCCCGCCGAGCACTGGTTCCCCCAAGCACTTCCAGAAGTAATTTCTGAATGTAGAACCCAGGAGTAACCCCTGAGCATTGCTGGGTGTGTATCCCCTGCCAAAAAAATTAGTTTCGACCACTGTGTAACCCTTCCTCTCAATGTCTGATCTGACTACAATCCCAGCACGATCCTCTGTGGCAACACTTCAGAGGTTTGACATGAAACAGTGACCCGGGGTACAGGCCTGTCAGCACAGCCTGTCCCCTTATGCTGCAGGATTTCTCAGGCCTGGCCCTGATACTCAGGGAGAAATCCTCTTTCTGGGGAGGCGGGGGTGGGGGTGGGGGGGGATGTCTGTCCTTCGCAGGAAGGGCTATGCACCCTCAACCCTGGTCTCTGTCCACTAGAGGTCAGCAGATCCCTGGCCCCCACTCTGAACCACCAGTTGTGTGTTCGAGCCTTCAGTGTCCCCAGATGAGAGAACCTCTGTGCTGGGCGCCTTGCATGAGGCCTAGGCTCTTGCCCACAGAGCATCAGCACAGCCTCATGTACAGCGTGCAGCTCAGCAAGTATGGTAGCGTGGAAGACTGAATAAAGCAAGGAGGGCCACACTCAGGTCACAAACCTATGGCCACCCCACCAGGAGTCATCCCTGAGCACTGCCGGGTGTGGCCCCAAAACAGAAGAAAGAAAATAAAACAGAAAGAAACCTCCTGAAAAGCCCACCGGATTTGTGTAAATGCAATGGACTGAAAATGCATTTTCAGATCTGCGGCAGGAACCACAGACAGGGCCACTGACACAGTCAGGCCCAGGAGACAGGCTTCCTGACCAAAGGCTTACCATGATGAGGCTGCAACTGATGTAGCAACATAGGGACAAGAGGAGACAGGCAGGGGAAGGTAAGAAAAAAATGGCCCTAGCAGGAAACATTCCTGGGAAGGACCCAAGAGGGACTCAGGATCTACACCCATCATGTGCAAGACATACCCCTTTCAAATATCCTGCTCTTTGTCTTAAACCCAATACAGAATGCTTGGCCAGCATCCTACTACAAAGCATATAAAAAGAGAAGGTTGCCCACATTTCCTGGGCTTCCCCCTGATGAAGACCCTGTTACCCATTCCCCATATTCCCCACCCTTCCTTTTCTTTCCTCAATGTTTTCCTCTGGATTTGGCCATCTTGTCTCACTCCTCTGCTCTCTGTCTTGACTGGCTGAGGGTGAGAAGGGGAATATTTCCTTGCAAGCGCCCCCTTGGCTGAAGAACCCCCCAGCAGCCAATCTCAAGCTTGCTTGGAGCAGCCATTGAAACACTAGTTGCCGACTTCTCCTTCCCCAGGGGTTACCCCGCACCATCCTCGGTGGTGCTCCAACCCCTTTGTCTTGCTCCCTGGATTTTTAGCCTTCCTGGGTTCCTAGCCCTGAGCCTGCTTCTAGGTGGATCTGAACCACACACAAGATGCTTTTCCCTAACTCCTGCATGATGCCTCAGCCTGAAGCATGTCTCAATCCCATCTTCACCCGGTATGCACCCATAAGTCTAGTCTTGGAGGAGGTTCTTAGAAGTAATTAGTGTCCTTTGGTCCAGAAAAACCAAAGAAGCCCTCAACTTTACTTATATGAATGAAAATCCAAAGTCATCAAGCGCAAAAGCTCACAAGTCATCAGCAACAGCAGACACACGGCCATCCCTTTGCAAGAGACTTTTAGAAGTTAACCTTTTATTGGTTTTAAGGCAGCAAGTCAAGTCTTCTGGTTCACATGCCTTTCTTCTGCCGAAGGAGGGGAGTCAGGAGGAAGGGGAAGGGTCGGGAGCCCAGTCAGAACACTCTTCCCTATCATCCATCTCGTCTTGCTTCTCTGGCCCCCAAATAGAAACTTAATGCACTTTGGTTTGAGAGCAAGCATATCCTACGGCCCCATGCAGCAGAGTCTGCCAGGAGCAACTTCCTGTGGAGGCCCCCGACTCAGCCTGCTTTCCCCTCCGCCATGCTCTCCCAGGGGCAGATGACCTCCTTCTCCATGGCCTGGTCCCCTGATTCTCCCGTGCCGGTATCTTCCGAGTCCACCAGACACGTCCCACTGTCCATAGGCACATCCATTTTGATCTGGAAAAAACTTCAGGCACAAAGAAAGGCAAGTGGGGTGGGAGCAGGAGGGCCAGCAACACCCCCCCCCCCCTCGAGCCCCCTTGCAGAGGGATGCCAATGCAGGTGTCTAAGGCTAAGGGTGCAAACATCAGCACAGTGGTCCATTTTATCGGTTAATTGTGTGGCTCAAGGGCACTCGGAAGATGCTCTTGCTTCTTTATCAAAGAGCTTGAGTTTGTATGGTTTTGACGACGAGCTCAGGGAGTGCCTTTACTTTCCAGTACTCCGCCCTCCACCCCTTTAAGCTGATGACGTGGATCCCTACGAAAAGAGACTTTTTAAAACCCCATGCCTCCGTGAGAAGCTGGACAGTGGCTGCAAAGCTGAAAGCAACCATCATCCGTGGCTGGTTGGGAGAAATCCGTGGACATGCCTGAACTCTGACCTCTCCTCCCCGACAGGCACAGGCATAGAGGTGTGGTCACCTCTGGGCCCATCTGTGCCTCAAAAATATTGCTGGGGTGGGAGGGGGCGGTGATTATAGAGCGGGTAGGTGCTTGCTTTGTATGTAGCTACCAGGGCTTGATCCCCGGCACCCCATACAGTTCCCTGAGCACCTCCATGAATGAGCCCTGAGCATAGAGTCAGGAGTAACCCCTGAGTGTGGCCCAAAATACACACACACACACATTCACACACACATAGATACACACATATATGGGTGTGTGTGTGTGTGTGTGTGTGTGTAGAGAGAGAGAGAGATACATATATGCATACATACATCACCACAGACACTCATGGCAACCTAAGACCTCAGCAGGTGCCATCCTTCTCTGAGACAGGGTGGGTGAAGCCCAGAAACAAGTAAATTGGTGCAGGGATAACTCCTGCCGCCCGTACCCCCACAGTTGTCTTTTCCCAAACCAAATAAAGGTGGGGATGGTGTTCTGTTTAGCACTATGCACAGCTTTCCTTTCTGCCATCCGTTTGAGGGGTAACCCAGCCCCTCTTAGAGCCTTTGCTCTGGACCCAGAGAGCCACCTCGGGACCCAGAGGTGTACGGTAGAACTTGCAGTTCCACCAAAATGGGGTGGAGAGGGGTCACCTCTGGGGAGAGCTGGGCCCTGTTGTTTTCCAGCAAGAACTAGAGGAGGATTCCCCAGATGCAACCCACAGACACACATGCCCATTCCATGTGCATGCACCCCGCTCCCGGGGGACCGCTGCATACACCCATACCCCCACTCCGCCGCACGCACCCCCACCTGGATGCCCGCCTCATGCACCCATACCGCATGCACCCACACCCGGGTGCCCGCGCACGCACCCCATGCGCACACGCGCGCGCCTCGCACCGCGCACCCTGCCCCTTACTTGGGCACTCTCCTGGACTTGAGCCGGGGCAGCTGCTGGCCCGCTTCCCCCAGGGGCTGCACCTTCCCGTGGGACACGGCCGGGCACTTGGGCGAGAGCCGGGCGAAGACGGGGGAGGCCAGGCAGCCACGGCGCAGGAAGCGGCCGAAGGTCAGGGCCATGCGCGCCCGGGACGGGCCCCGCGCCTGGGTCCGAGCGCGCGCGCCGCCGCCCGCCGCGACGTCGCTGCTCTCGCCGGCCTCCCCTTTCTGCTCGGCGCCCCCTGAGCCCTCCAGGGGCCCCCGGATGGGCGAGGGGCACACGGTGCTGCTGGGCCTCCGCATGAAGCGCGCGGGCGACGGGAAGGGGCGCCGCGGGGAGCGGCAGGACGGCGACAGCGGGGACGGTGAGGGCGGCGCGCAGGTGCCCGTGTACACCGTCAGGTGCGGGCTGGGCGCCGTGTACTGGCCGGGCTGCGGAGAGGGAGAGAGCGCCGTGAGACGGGGCATCCCTGGACCCGCTGGGGTCTCCTGGACCCGCGGATGAGCCTGCCCCAGACCCTCTGGGGCCCGCACGAGGCCCCTGCCGGTGGCCTGTCCCCAAACCTGGTGAAGGTCCCATCCCACGTCTCCCGTGTGCTGCCAGGCCCCAGGGGCTGGGGTACCAGGCTGCACTGCCCACGCCCCCCAACAGGGATCCTCAAAAGTCACTCCTGGTCGAACCCCTATAACCCATGCCACCTCGCCCCACAGGAACCCCACTGTCCAGCCTGGGCCTTCAGACACATGGCAGGAGGCCCAGCCCCACCTGGATCCTGCCTGTGACCCTCAGCACTGACCGGGCCTGACCTTGAGAAGGACCGGCCCTGCAGCATCTACTAATGACCTTCACAGGCCAGGTGTGGGCCTCAGTGCCCTACAAGAGAAGCTCCCTGACTCCCACTCTCTCTCTCCAGGGCCCCTGAAGCACAGGAGCCCAACAGTCAGAACTCACAGCAGAGAAGGGTAGGGGGTGGCCAGAGAGGAGGTTATGGTCCCACCTCTTCCCGGCAGACTGCCAGGGCTTCACCCTGCAAGTCATTTGCCACTTCCCCAAGGCCACCCACAATAAGAACAGAGCCCAGGGTTGGGGGTGAATGAACCCTCTGGGAAAGGGGGAGCCTCATCACATCTGAGAGCTGAAAATAGCTTCAGAGAAAAGCAGACTCCCTCACAAGTGCCACAGTCACCCTGCTGTGCCCGGTGGGCAGTGCTGGGCACAGGGTAGGGGCTGCCTCTTCTCTGGGACACGGCCTGGCAGGCTTCCGGAGCACTCTGTCTGTGCCCAGGCACCGCCTTTGGGGGCACAGAGGGCTGAGCGAGGGGGGGTGGGTGGCAGAGGAGCTCCCTTCTCTTCCACCAGCTCCATGAGGGCCAGGTGAGATTCCAGTTCGGAGTCACTGACCCCCCCACCCCACCCCATCCGGGGCCCAGGGCCATGGGGACCTTCCATGGATCACCAGGATTGTGCCATCAACACAGAGAACAATGCGACCAGTGAGGGCCTGCATGGCGCACCCCATCTGGAGCACCCCACAGGGGCACCTCTCAGAGCCGTCTGACAGATGAGAAGTCCAGAGGTTCAGTCACTTCATCAAGGACACTGGGTGGGGGAAATACTCCCCCCCCCCCACCCTCCAAGGCTCACCAACTCTGCCTGTGAAACCCTGCGTGGGCACAGCTGCATGGGAACTGCACTCTTCATGTTAGCTCAGCGGCATGGGAACCGCATGGGGTGTGCGTCACTGCCACAGACCCTGCTGCACCCCAGACCCACAGAGGGGAAAACACCAGAGGGCTCCCCTTGCCTCAGCAGACCACTCAGGGCAAGCACCCATGCCCCAGTTGGACTACTCCACCTGCTAAAGCCCTGATTTCCACAGTCCCTTCTAGAAGGATATATGCCTGCACTTAGGATAGTCTGCCAAGAAGAGTAATGAGTAGGGGAACAGCTGGGCCCTGGTGAAGGGCTGGAGGGGACAGCTGTAAGAGGGGACAGTCCCCTAACCCACTAATATCTTCTATATGCTTGGAACTACCCACCTGCACCCATGCCACCTGAGAGAACAGAACTCTGGGCCAGCGGGATGCATTGCCACCCTGAGGCCTTCAGAGCCAACTCATGACCCTGATGTGCAGAATTTTCTGGCCGCCTGAGATTCCTGCAGCTGCCTGCCAGTGTGGCCCTTAGCTCCATCTATCCTGGTCACTACCAAGGTCAGGATTAGGCACAGTGACCGGACCCCATTCCACTGTGACCATCGGGGTCTATAGACCAGAGCGACAGGGCAGAATTGGGGGAAATGGGAGGGACTAAAGGGGGGAGAAGTTCCCCAGCATCCCCCGATGAGAAGGAGCTGTAAGACCAGAAACTAAGGAAGCGTTAAGAAGCCAAGAGCACCTCAGGTATGCGGGTTCAGGGACTAAGACTCCAGGTCTCGTGCTGGCATCAGAGATGGGCCATCCCTCCCTGTCCCCTTGGGGTCCTGGCTGTCACGCCCACGATCTGCCTCCAGCACCATCTCAGCACATCAATGTCTTTGGTCTGAGAATCCCAAATGAATCTCAAAATGAATTAGCTCCCTACAGAGATGTCTCTGGATCCCAACCATTCACAATTTTAGAATTCCAGAAATGCGCGGCCGCTTTCATCACCATGCGACCTCTCATGATATTCATACTAAGCAATAGAAAATGAATTATCTACCATCTGCTCCTGGTAGGCAGGATTGAATGAGTGGTGGTTGGAATATTTGAAATAATGGTGATGAGAAGGTGTAATGGTGGTGGGATTGGTGATGAAATTTTAAATGCAATCAATTAATGTGAACAACCTTATGAAAATAAAATTTAAAAAGAAACATTCAAGAAAAACAAAGAAGCTGTGAGCAAGCCAGCACAATGTTGCACCCCTCTGTCCCACGTGAGTCACAGGGCACTGCCCCTTTGAAATGAGCCGGAAGCAGATCACTTCCAGGAAACTCCAGAGAGGGCCAGGGACAGTGTGGGGACAGCTTGAATGGGGAGCCTTGAGTAGAGACATCCGCCACCCCCACCAAACCTCACCTGGCCCACTGAGGGTTTCTCAGCAGTTGACAATTGTGCAAACTTGAGATCAGGTCACACAGAAATGCAAGAATGACTAAGCAACAAGGCTGGAGCGATAGCACAGCAGGTAGAGCCTTTGCATTGCACACGACCAACCCGGGTTGGATTCCCAGCATCCCATATGGCCCCCCGAGCACCATCAGGAATAATTCCTGAGTGAAGAGCCAGGAGTAACCCCTGTGCATCGCTGGGTGTGACCCAAAAAGCAAAAAACAAAACAAAACAAAAAGACTTAGCGAGATGCTAGGTCTGTGTGACCCAAGGCCCTTGTTTTCTCTGACCCAGACCCCCACCTCATTGCCTGTCGGGTTCATCTAAGTCTTGGGGTTCTGGAGAGTGAGCTGAAATAACCCAAAGTAGGAAGTAGCTTGTGAAGGGACAAGTTCTCCTCCTTCCACAAGCTGACCAAGGACACCCCCAGAGCGTGAACTTGAACGTTCCTTAGTATTTGTGCCAGCACTTGAATGCCCCTTCGGGTTTGTGGGACACTCCTGTTCTAGGGCCCCCCCCTGAGATGCCAATCAAGGCCTGTGGTGTAGCTATGGCACCAGCCAATGAGAGAACCATCCAGTCCTCACACGCTCCCATCCTATGTCCTCCTGACCTCTTCTCCCCTCCCACCCCTTTCTAGCACCTTCTCCTCCTTCTCCAGGATGAATCCCAGGATCATGAGGGGGTGCTTCACTTACCTGGCCCAAGAAATTCCTTCCTTCTGGGCACACATCCAACTAGTCCTAGACGCTCTCTCCCTCCGTCCCCCTCCTGGGAGACACAGCAAGCCCCACCACCGGTGGGAGTCAGGAAAGAGGTGGCATGCAGACACATGACAAAGAAATGAGACACGGCAGAGACAGAGTGACAGCGAGATGGGTCTTTATTCTGCAGGGGAGCCAAGAGAAGGAGGAGGGCAGCGTGGAATGGAGCGGGCACATGGGCATGAGATGAGGCCACAGGCAAAGCATCGGCAGGGCTGCCCGGCTGTCTCAGAATGGGGGAGGGGGTGACAGAGGGCTGCATTCCGGCTCACATGCAGGCTGGGAGGTGAATGGTTCCCTCCTCCAGGACCTTCCCAGTCCACCCCACCAAGCAGATGAGCACAAGAAGCCCCTAGACAAACCTTCACGTGAGTGATGCAGCGTACCCCTCCCAGTCACCTCACCAGGAACCCCCAGCACAGGACCTCTCTGTTGTGAATGGATCCTTAGTTCCCACGTGATACTTGGGACCACTCGGGACCCAGTGTCACTGCACTGCTGCTGAGGATTCCTCTCTTAGCTGCGGACAGAGGACCAGCCATCAACTCCTCCCCACTTTCCCTCAGTATATCCTGATGATCCTGAGGACCCCGGAGGGTTGCCTGTGAGACTGAGAGAGCAGAGAAGACAGCGGAGACAGCAGTGCTTTAAAAACAAAAGGACATGGGCCAGAGCTATAGCACAGCGAGAAGGGTGTTTGCCTTGCACACGGCCGACCCACGCTCGATCCCCAGCATTCCATATGGTCCCCCGAGTGCCACCAGGAGTGATTCCTGAATGCAGAGCCAGGAGTGACCCCTGAGCATCACCAGGTATAACCCATAAAAAGCCAAAAAAAAGAAGATGAAGAAAAGAAAAGAAAAGAAAAGAAAAGAAAAGAAAAGAAAAGAAGAAAGAAATTTTCTCTTAAAAACATTTTTTTAAAACTCAGGCTATGCCTGAAATGATCTAGCATTAGTTAATCTGGGGGGGGGGGGGGTAGAAAGAAGCAGAAATCTTAGTCTAATATCGTGAATGAAATAGGGATAGAAAAATGGAGGGGATGGGAGTGATGAGGATGAGGATGAGGGTGGTGAGGGTGAGGATGAGGAGAATGAGGATAAAGGGGGAAGGATGAGGGTGGGGGGCAGGGAAGGTGGCAGTACTGGGGATGGAGATGATGATGAGCTCAAGGATGAGGAGGAGGAGGAGGACAGAGGTGGTTGTTGTAAGGATGATGGTACATGATAAATATGACAGGGATGGTGGTGCTGATGGTGATGAAGACAATGAGATGAGGATGGCGAAGATGACTGTAAGAGTCATGGTGTGATTGTGAGGATGTGGTGACGAGGTGGGGGAAATGGTGCTGATGGTGGTAAGAAGGAGAAGGAGAAGGACAGTTAGGATGCTTAGGGATGATGATGGGAGTGGTGGCAAAGATGATGGTGATGATGACGGTGATGGTGAAAATGGCAATGGTGACTGTGAGGATGTGGTGATGGGGATGCTGTCAGTAGCAGGGAGGCAAGGATGCGAACAGCAGTGCTGGTGAGAAGAGCAACAAGCATTACTGAGCACTGGTTTGTGGTC